CTGGCAAGCCAGGGCTACAGCATAATAGCACTCCAAGCAGACCTGGAGCACAAGCACCAGCAAGACAGTGGCTGTGACAGCAGTAGTGAGCTAGTCCAGAGCAGAGAGGGGGTAGACATCTCCGTAGCTAACAGTGGTGAGAGCTATAATAGTCCACCAGAGACATGTAGAGATATCTCCAATGTGGAGCTCACCCTGACCTGGGGTGGACATGCCCAAGAGCTTCCCATAGAAGAAGAGTGAGCCAAAGAACAAGAACTCAGGCACTCAAATCAGGAGAAAGGCACACACCTCATTCCAGGAGGAATGGAGGGTATGAACCAGGACTTTTATGGCCAGGAACTTTTCAAGGAATCCCAGGAAACCAACAAGCTTGAGGATACAAAGAGAATGAATGGCCCCGAGCATTAGGCTGAGATGGGGTTGCCATTCAGCCTTGACACCCACCACCAGCTCTAACAGCACAGGTAACAGATAGAAGATGTTGGCTAGATTGAGAGGGCTACACAGGAAGCAACCCTTATCAGGGCAGGAAATGGCCTGGGCAAAGAGCTCAGTTCTAAACCAAAGGGCACAGAGCAGTTCCAGGTAGAGCAGGTGGGGGGTACAGCGGTAAACAAGACTATTGTTCTGCTGCTGCTGCTGGTTTTCCCCCATGCCCACCCCATGTCCCATAGGAATGAAATTGGCAGAGAAGTAATCCAGCTGAACCTCCATCTCCTGGGAGATAACCAGAGCACACACGGCAAAGAGTGTGGAGATCAGAGAATGGCACTAGGGGAAAAGAGGCATGTCAGAAGTACCCCCATTTACCAGCCACCCCCACCTCTCTAACTAGACTCTTACCTTTCTTTGCCTCCTTTTTTGGGGGATCCTTTCAAATTGTCCAGGGTGTTCAGGGCCCAAGCACCATGCCAAGTGTGTGGACATTGTGGCAATTCGGCAGGGCCCTTTGGGAGTAAGAGTGTTTAGCATGGTGCCACACACTGTTAATGAGTTACCTTGGCCCCTTCAGAAGACGGGGGTTGGTCAAGAAGCACCTAGAGCCACGGCTTCCAAGCATTCCACAGTCCCTGGCCTTCAATGGGGTTCAGCAGAGGGCACTCATCCATGTGGGCATTTTCATAGGCCTCCCAAGACAGGAAGTCCTGGGATCGAGTCTCTGTGCCACTCAGCTTGAGCCAGCAGCATGGTGCCTGTGGTGCTTCCACCAGGCCCCAATAAGCCAACTCCTCCTCTAGGACATCCCAACAGATGTCTGCAGGGCAGTGCAGCTGCCGAGTATGGTAGTAGCCCAACACATAGACAAAGTGCTTAGGATTTCAGTCAAAGAAAAACGTGCGAACCAGTAGACCCTGAGAAGCTAGGGTGCCAGGAGGGGGTGGTTCAATCAGCTTGTAGAGGCGGATGCCTGGAAAGGCCTGCACGATGCTGATGTAAGTCTAGTGGCGCATGCCCCCCGTGTTCGGGATCAGTTTATCGTCCAAGCCCTCCATGGCAAACCATGAGCCTGCTTCTTGGCTGGCTCACATCCACTAGCAAGAGGAGAGATGATAGGGGTTAGGATGAGGTCGTCCTGCCTTCCTCTGCCCTCTCAGGCTTAGCCAGGGCAGGGAGGGGCCAAGGGCCACGGGCCACAGAAGTGATGTGGTAGCCCAGGCACCCAAGGTAGGCTACCCCAGGCAGGAAGCTGGGCATGTCTCTTCCTCCTGGGTCTTCAAGAATCAGGAGGACATCCAGCTCTCAGATGTGGTCACAGTGATTATCCAGAGTCTTTCTTGGGCCCAGCAATTCCAGGAGAAAAACCAGCCTAGCCTGGAAACAGATGTCTTTCAGGGGGTCTTAGGAGATACTTGATGACTCTGAGTGAAGGAAGTAAAAATTATATTAAAAATTAAAAAGTTACTACCTTAGAGACGGGCACCTCCACACCCTAAGGATTCCTGGTATAAGGGGGAACGTTTATCGATCCTGACTGACTCTATTCATGGAAGACTTGCCCTAAACTGTTCGGGGAAAAATTGAGAACAAGAGAGTGCTCCAGAGGGATAAGTTTGGGAGGGTCGGGGTGGAGGGGGTCCAGGTGGGGACGCGTGTGTGTAACCTGATAATCGCTTCGCGCCATAGCAATTCGCGCCATAAAATGTAACTGTTTAAATGTTTTAAATTAGCCAATCATGTAAGACTGCGCCAACCTTTTCCCGCTTTGTGCTCCCAAACCCTATATAAGAATTTGCCCTTTAAGGTCCGGGGTCGACTCCTCTGTCTCCTGCGAGAGATACGTGTTGACCCGGAGCTCCGCTTAATAAACCTCTTGCGTTTGCATCAAGCTCGGTCTTCTGTGTCTGTGGGTCCGCGCCTTCCCGAGACTGGAGTTGGGATTTCCTTTTTTGGGATCCTACATGAGAGAACAATTGTGCCACGGTATACAGCAGAGGAAGTCACAGACAGGAACTGCAGACTAAATGGCCAAGATGCGGACAGGGACATCTCTTAATAATCCTGTCTGTCACTTTGAAAACTTGGGGCAGGGGTTTAGTGGTACAGGGGATAAAAAGAGGATCAACCAAGGGAGGCTAAGTGCAGAGGATGGTGGTGACAGGGGAAGCTAGAGGGCCTTAGAGATCCCTAGGCCTCCACAGGGAGTATGAGGTAGCTGACTTGAGAAACTGGCTGGGGGGTTGGCAGACCTGACAGCGATGATTTTTGACTCCAAATCCCCTGGCACCCAGTCCAGGCCACTTATCAGCAGCACCAGCAGCACCAGCAGCAGCAGCACCCTCTGTGGGTCTCTCTACTGGATGCCCTAAAATTGCTTTGGGCTTAGTGAGTTCCTTGCCTGGGAACACATAGGGGTAAGAACAGAGTTGGGGGGGCAGAGGGAGAGAGCGGGTGAGAGGAGCACACAAAGGCAAACCAGGGGGATCAAAACACCTACCCAGATCAACATTTCAGTGTCCCCTACCCTCTGACAGGCAGCCTGCTGGGGATCCCATGTTTGTCCCTGAGGTCAAAAAAGGATGAAGGCAGAAGCAACCACCTCCAGTCCGGGAACCTCACACCCCCCACTCTCCACTCCCCCCACCACTCAGCCAGCCCTTGCTCACTCACTTGGTTGTTTTGCATCGTCCACAAACACTGGCAGTGAAGGGACCAGCGGCTGGCTGGGTGGTGGGGCGGGAGGTGGTGGGGTGGGTGGTGTGGCTGGCATTGCCACTGCCTCTGAAGTTTGTGACTGCTCCTGCATGGAGCGAGCTCAGGCCCCAGGACCAGGCTGTGCTCATGGAAGAGATGGAGAGGAGTTGGGGTTTTCCAGGAGCCTTTTGTTCCTGCTGTGGTCCGGGAAGCAAGTGCCAAGAGGCAACAATCCGACTCAAGGCTATATGTGTTCCCACCTGCTTCTTTAGGAAGGCTGTCCTGGCCCCCAGACTGCAGGGAATCAGACAAGAGACCCTGGCCAACTTTGCTGCTCCTCCTTCCTCCCCTGGCTCATTTCCAGCCCAGAGCAGAGGGGAGGAGGCAGCTGGAGGAAAGACAGGAAGTTAGGTGGTCAGGTTCCAGCCAAGAGGCCACCCCACCAGACCAGTTAATATTTCCAACAAATTTCTCTCCCCACCACACCCCCAGTCAGCCCCACTCTAATTCCCTATTCTGCCCCCAGCTCCACTACAGTCCTCCCATCAGAAGCCTGCAAAGGAAGAAGGGGTATGGGGGTGGGGGAGAAGTGAGGACCAGAAGACAGCCTGGGAGGCCAGATGTGCTCCTGGTTGTATCTAGCTGTTTCTGCCCACTCATTTTTCTTCTCTTTTCTCTAGAGGTCTTGGTGCCAAGGATAGGGGTAAGAATGGGAGAAGGGGAGGGGCAGAGGGACAAGCTGACTCAGAGAGAAGCCTGCTTGCCTGTGGCCTGTGCCAGGATTAGCAGAGATCCCAGCCCCTTAAGACAAGCCACATCCCCTCCTCTTCGTCTTCCCAACCATCTGCCTCCAAGACCCCTCCCTGGGAACTGGGTCAATCTCGTATTTTGCTACTGATGAGAGTTTGCCAATGGAGCAACCAGGTGATCCTAAATTTCAAGATAGCCCCACCCCCACCCCTTAGCTCACTCCCCATGACTTTCTCCCATCACTAGACCAGAAATTTCTAGAAGCAATGAAGATTCCTACCACAATTCAACACCCTCCCCAACTCTTCCTTTTCAGCCCATCCGTCAGAGCCAGGGACAAGTTGGATTGAGAGTTTCAAGACATGCAAGCAGGATCCTGGCTCCTCTCTTCCCTCTTGGTCACTGCCTTGCTGTGGGGCTGGTGGCCTGAAGCATCCCCTCAGTGGACTTCATGGTGAGAATCAGGGGAGGAGGGGGTGGTGGTGACAAACACAGCTCTTAGCTCTACAAATCCAGATTCTTACTTCAGCCAAGGAGGGCAGACAATAAATTGGGCACTTCAGCACTTTCCAAGTGAGGAGGGTAGAGGGAACAGCTTCCTCTCTCCCTCACTCCATGCCCACTTCCCCTCATATGTCCTGCCTCTCATCCACACTAGCCCATTTGCTTCTTGATTCCATAAACCAACCAGTCTCTTTCACGACTGTCCCATTCTCTCCAGCTATCTATTGACTACTTCCACATCCATCTCCAATGTCACCTCTTTTGGGGATCCTTCTCTGAATCCTTTTCCCCAATACAAAGTCCTGTCCTCTGCATTCTCACAACCTGCTTTGTTTTTTTTTTCTAGAGCACTTTTTGTACTAGAACATTATTATGTATGTGTTCATTGCCCCATTGTATTACTTTTCTAATTGCTGCTGTAGCACGTTGCCACACACTTAGTGTTTTAAAACAACATATATATATTACTTTTCAGTTCTATAGGTCAGAAGTCTGACACAGATTTCACTGGACTAAAATCAAAGGAATGACTCCATTCTTTTCTGTAGGTTCTAAGGGAGAATCTATTTCCTTGACTTTTCCAGCTTCTAGAGGCTGCTTACATTCTTTGGCTCTTAGCCTACTTCCTCCATCTTCAAAGATAGAAACAACGGGTTGAGTCCTTCTCACACCTCATCACTCTGACTTCCTCTTCTGCTTCCCTCTTCCACTTATAAAGACCCCTGTGATGACATTGGGCCCACCTGGAAAAACCAGGAAAATCTTCCTGTTTTAGAATTATCTGATTAGCAAACTTAATTTCATCTGCAACCTTAAATTTCCTTTGCCATATGATCTAACATATTCACAGGTTTTGGGGATTAGGACATGGAAATCTTTGGGGGGGACATTATTCTACCTACTGCACCCATCTCAACTGTGAATTCCCCAAGGGCTGAGCCATGTCTTATTTATCTTTGTAACCCTCCCCCCTGAACTCCTCCTTCCAGCCATGTGTCTGGCACAGAGTGGGCACTCATCAGTGATTGAACAAACACATGTTATAACCTCTCATAGTTATCAGATCTCTCACTTCTCAGAGAACAGACTTTTTCCTTCCATAAGTCTAATCTAAATGCCATCTGCTTTGTTATCCTGATTGGACTGATGCCAGGTCCTGTGGTACCTCAATCCTTTTGCTATTTGCCCCTGGCTAGTGAGTTCTATCTGGAAACAAACTGATAACTAGCCCTGCCAATGCAGCCATAACAGGGGAAGTTAACCATGTCTCCTAGAATGGTTGTCCCATTCTTGAGGCATGGCTTCTTCCTGTTCCTCATAGGTCAGATCTTTAAAGCCTCTACCATCTGGGTTGCAATGAAAAGTAGGAGAGTGAATACCCCCTGCAAAAAGACCACCCTCTCTCAGGGTGCCCTCCCAGGGCCAACCTCCTTTGATGTAGTCAGGCCTGCATGCCCCCTTCACCTTAACTGTTCTCTGGTACCTTTCTATATGTGTGAGGGAGTGGGTCTTGCCCTCCCCAAACTGGAGAACTAGAAGCCTATCTACATCTTGGTAGTTTGTTCCCTATGCCTTGTACAGAGCTGGGCATGTGAAAAGCGCTCTGTAAACCCAGAATCTCACCCCAAGCCATTTTTTCACACTCTTATCCCACTCCATTCTTCCTGCAACCTGAGACTACTCCCTAATCCCCCAAAATGGCATAAATGAACCTATCCCCCTGTCTTTCCTTAAACCATTCCTTCTACCAAGAATGCCTGCTTTTTCTTCCCCCTCCTGCCATCTATTTCTCCAAACCACACACACACACACACACACACACACAGATACACACCCCACATCTGTTCATCTTTAAAAGCCCAGCTAAAATGGTTCTTCCTCTGTGAAACCTTCCTTACCATCCTGTTGGAATTTATCCTTCTTTCCTCCCCATCCCCCCAGGAGTTTGTACTTCTATTTAGCACGGACTCCCTTGTGTGCTGGTTGTTTGTTTACTCATCTACTTCCCCATTGGCTGGTAAATACTTTTGGGGTTTATTCACCTTGGTGTCCCACCCACCATACACTCCACTCCCACCCACCACCGCAGCCTTGCCTCTACCACACAGTGCCCGGCACCAAAATTCATTGTCAGTCAGTGTTTACTCAGCAAGTGAATGGCTCCCTCATCTTTTTCCTAGTCCATAGAAGGCTCAGGAGAAATCTTGGTCCGTGTGTTGCAAAGTCCTCCTGCTTCCATGACCCCCGTCCTCCTCACCCCCAACTCGTACACATACCTTGGCCCTTGTGCTTTTTTCTGTACCCATCTTCTGTGTGGCCCAAAGGCCAAAAATTGCATCACCCAGATGACTGTTGGAGTACACTCATATACTTGCAGAATAATAAAGCTGAAAGAGACTTTAGGGACCCCCATCTGCTTCCCAGTTCACAAAATGAGGAACTGAGACTCACAGAGGGCAAGGGATTTGCTTAAACACCATCATCATAGTAGTAACCAAGTCAAAACTAAATCCCTGAGACGTTTACAGATTTTTAAATTCACTTTGCTTTGCACACAGCTACCACCCATTAGCCTTGCACAGAAAAGTGGGTAAATGATGCCACACAGTGGCTGAAAGGCTTAGCTTCACCTACCAGCCTTGTTCCTCGAAAATGGAATTCCCAGCACACCCTGCTCTCCCTTTATCCCCTGAAGGAAGAGGGAACAGGGAGGTCACCTTCCAGGAATAATCCACAGGATATTCACATAGCCTAACTTTCTGCAGGCAGGAAACAGGACCCAACCATGTTATCTTGCATCTTCACCAGGAAAGGCGGGGGTGGGGGGGGTGGGGTGGAGACAGCAAGCAGCTTGGTAGCCAGAGAGTTGGGTTTCCTGAAGGAAGTTGGAAGAGGGGATTCAGATCTTCCTTCTCTGAATCAGCTCTGAAAGCTGTTCCCTTAGCCTGAGCTGCTAGGCTGGCAGTTTACCAAATGTTTCTTTGTCTTGTCTGACCTGTTAAGAACTGGCTTCACATGCTGGCACAGGCTTCTCTTTGCAGAATGTGCAGATTTGAAGACCTAGCACTCAGGGCTGGCGAGATGCACATTCCCAGATTCTTTCAATAGGGAATTTAACAAGCTAGTTTGGAGGTTAAGAAGCTGGACTTTTCTCCCTTTGGACGTAGAACTGCATCCTAGTTGACCTCCCAAAGCCTTCTTGGTCCTGCTCCTAGTAGGAATCTTCTACATTGTAGGTCAGAGGAAAGGGGGGTTTAGTTTCAGACAGAAGAAGGAAAGTGGGGCAGGTTTTGTGTCATCTGCCAAAAACTGACAGCGTGCTTCATCTGGGAATAAAGATTCTTGGAAATTTAGGAGAAAATAAGAAGCTCCCCAGGGCTGAACCTTGGGCCAGGGCCACCTGCTTGGAACCTCCAATGAGCCATCATCCTTGATTCCCAGCTGGCCTATGGCTGGATCCCTGGGTAGAAGGAAAGGTGGGGAGGAGTTAGGCTGCCAAGAAAATGAGGCCCTAGCCCAGTTCTGTAATGGAATTGAGGACAGATGACTATAAATCAAGCAGGGCCCAATGACAAATCAGGCAGGAGTCCTGGGATAAATGAATCTTTCTTCATTCTGCTCCCATCTGGGTTTCGAGTTCCAGGCATCTGTCCAAAGTATGGGGCTCTGAGTGTGCTGGTTGCTGGCAGACTAGGGAGGGGAAGGGGTGCTTACAAAGCTGGGTGACAAGAGGAAAGGATGATAATGGGATGGAAAATGGAGAGCACTGGGAGGTGACAATGGCTTAGGCATGGGGCTGGAGCATATTTTGTGGGCTGGGGTGGAAGTTATGCAACCAAATGATGTGTAAATGAAATGATCTTAAAAATTGATTTCCTGGTTGGCATAGAATTCCTAGGAACAGAGCAAGACAACCTTCCCCAAGCCAAGGTCTCAGACTACAATTTTTTCTTCCATCCATCCCCCTCCTCAGGCCCAAAAAACATGATGCCATTGTCCCCTGGAGTTGTCCCTCCACCTAGAGGGGTGCTAATTCTGGAGATGGGGTGATTCTAGCACTCATTGTCTAAACCTTTCACATCCATGGAGTATTCCATGTACTTCAACTACCTTTAAACATCTAACACTCAATTAGAATACAGGGGCAATCTGGCCATGATTGGTTACCATCTAGATGGCCATCTAATTAGAACCTCATAGCTCTGTGAAGTTGGCAGGACAGGGAGAGTTGTCTCCATTTTACAGATGAGGAAATTGAGAGTCAGAGAGATGAAGCTAATTGACTCAGAATCTCAGTGCTGGAAGGATCTAAAATCACTGCAGTCAAAATCATCTTTTGATGCTCAAGTCTCAATTCCTTCCACCCACTAATGCCCATGTCCAGTGACTGAGTAGCAGCACTTGAACACCTCCAGAAACTTGGAAATCACTATATTCTGAGACAGGCTTTGTTCAAAGCCCACAGCCTATTAGGTATGGGGCCTGAACTAGGAACCCAGGGTTGAGATGTTGAGATGCTTGCTGTTGCTCAAGTTGGGGGCTCTTACATGGTTTTAGCTGGTTTGCATCAGACATCCTCTTATGTTGTAGCAAGGTGAAGACTCAAGGGAGGAGAGAGAAAAAACCACCTAAGCAAAGGGAAGAAATAACAAACCATGGAGTGCTGAAAATAAGCATTTATTCTAGAAAAGCATCTGGGCCAGGATGAGGACGGGAGGGGTGAGGTGAAGCTGGTATGGGAGGGAAAGGGGAAGTCTAGCCAACTCCATGGAACCCAGAAAACTTGAAGTATATGTAGCCAGCCTGAGATTAGGAGTATGGGTGCTGGTTAGAGGTGGCAGCATGGGAGTTTGATTCCAATTTGGGATGATACACCAGTTGGGCCACTTTGTAAAGACCTTCCTGGTTAGCAGCTGCCACGTTGTGGATAAACATCTCCTCATCCTTTGCCAGAATATCAAAGACTAAAATAAAAAAAAAGAAATTCAGCTCCCTTCTAGCTCTGAGCTAGTTTTAGAGTTGGAAGTGGGGATGGGGGACATCTAGAACCAAAGAAACTAGCCCTAGAAATAATTTTGTCAGTGTTGTTATTATATAAGTAATATTCACCACTCATAGAACTACTGTTAATAGGAAAACTGAGGCCCAGGTTGAAGTTATGGTCTACATGACATTAAAACTAAGCAGACTATTTGGTCAGTTTTGGTCAACTTGATTCACCTGATTGATTCAGTGGAAAATAATTAGCAAGCAGAGCTTCTTGGCATGAAGCTGACCAAATAGTTTCTCTGACTGAAGTTTTTGCTTTCCCATCCCTTATTTTTGGTTCATGAAGTCACTATGTCTGGGCCTGACTTGGTTTTCTGGTGTTTTCACCTCACCTGGATGCTCAGAGCACAGCGGACAGAGGCACTCCTGTGCCTATCCCATGCCCACAGCAATTCTTTCTCCCTATCCTGCCCTTGCCAGGCCTGGACCCCACTTCCATACAAGAAAAGGAGCCTGTGAGGAATAGCTTGGAGCCTACTTTCTCTCTCTCAATCCTTTTCCCTCCATCCCCTCTCTCCCTTCTTCCATCCCTCCAAAACTCTCTCCTATGGGCCTATGAAGGACTCTGGACTCCTAACCCAGGGCCCAGCCCTCTAAACACTGCTTCCCCTCTGTTATCAGTGGCTCCATCTTATCCAGCCCACTCACTGGTTTTGGTAGTAACCATCTGTTCCTGAGGAGACCCAAGGAAGCAGTGGGAATGGAAATGATTTTTCTTTCCATCTCTGGACTTAGGGAAGCATTGGGGGAGGGGAGAGACATTTCCATGCTGAGAAAAGCAGTTATCTAGTTCCTGTCAACCTACAAAAACAGAAACCAGTTTGAGAGGGAAAATGTTTGAGATCAAAGAATTGCAATTCAGAGAGCATGGATTCAGGTAGAGACCCAAATACTGCCCTGCTAGGGAGTAAAAGTCAGGGGCTTTTAAAGGCAAAGAAGGGAAGTTGTATTACAAAGAATTTTAATTGGAATTGGAGGCAAACAGCTAGTCTTGGCTGAACATTGATTGACTATTGATTCTATCTTCAGAAAATCCACAATCATCAGTCTTTGTGATCAGGATGTCCATTCTCCTGCTGATTTCTCAAATAGTTGCTTATAAAACAATTGCCGTTTTGGCCCAATCCACAGGTTTGGCCCAGTCCAAGGTTCAAGACAGCTAGCCGGTCTCTCTGGAAAGGCAGTTCCGCTTCCATTTTAAAATGGCTCAACTAAAGTCAATTTTGACATTTCCTTACACTGCCCCCCTCTTGGAAGGCACTCCCTGGTGAGTAGGCCTTTGTTGAATTTAAAGGAAAGCAAAGGATTTTTCTAAGGAGCAAAGACAGGGAAATGAAGGAAAGGGAAGGGAAAAGAAAGAGGACAGAAAGACCCTTTCTGAGGTTGACTAGCTTGATCCCTAGATTCTTACTGGGACCTCAGCTGAGTCCTGGAGGCCCTGGGAACAGTGACTTGCTCTACAACATCTGCATCCTCTCCATCTTGCTTGGTTTTCCCCCCAGGAGATAGAGAGCCATCTTTTGTAAAGCTGATGTAATTGAATGCATTTGTGAGTACTCATCTTGGATGCTCGTGGCCAGGGAGTGGCAGGCAGGAAGCTAAACAATAACGGTATGGTGGGGAGGGCTGTTGGGGAAGGAGAGGAGTGAGTAACAGTTAAGGGACAAAAGATGCTAAGAAAAAAAAGAAAAGAGAGGAAGTTGTACACCGGAAGCAAAATAAAAATCATAGGTCTGAACCAATAGCAGAGCACCTCCACCCCTTCTGGGGCTGTCTTCTAGTCGAACTAGAGGATGGCACCTCAACAACTAGATAGGTAGGGCCTGCCTCCTCAGTGAGCCAGAGGCCAAAATGTGAAGACATTTCCAAATTTCCATGAAAATATTCCACCAAGAGGGTACCTAATGAATACGGCTCTGCTAAAGTATGAATTAGTGAAGTAGACTCTTATAGCTAGAAGAGGGATCTCAGGACCCATCTAGGCCACTGCCCCTTTCTCTTTTCCACCACCACCACCTTGGAGCTGAAGAAACCTAAAGGGAATGTATAACAGCAAGTTCACCACAGTTATATTCCCCTGACTTGGGAGAAGGGAAGAAAAGGCTACCAGGGGACTTCTGTAACCAAGAATCCTTAACACAAAGGAACTTTCTGAGGGTGGATTTTCAGGCACTCTGGTAGGCTAGTAGGGATTATATTGAGGATAAAGGGTCTCCCCAATGTCCCTCTAGCCAGGTCAGAGGATGCTGAAGTAGACAGCTTTAGGGTACAAAACCCCAGTTTTTCAAGGGGGTCCTGAAAAAAGCAAGCTCCCTTGCCCCCATCCCAGCAATCCAGATCACCCACTGCTCAAGCCTTAAGATCAAACAGGAGGACCACACCCTTTTTATCCAGAACCCTGGAAACAGCATACAACAGCAAGCTGACAGTGTGTTCTGAAAACAAAACAAAACAAAAAAATGGGAAAGGAAATGGTTTAGGGAGGATCTTGGCTAGTCATTTTCCTCCAATCCAGAGGTTCCCAGATGTTGCTTAAACAATCAGAGCCAGCCTCAAAAGCAAAAAAGAAATCAATAACAATTTGAGAAGGTGCTTAATGTTAGAACTAGGGATTTCCCTAAAGAGGTAATGTGCTCTGAGCAGAGCTGTATAGAATATTTCAAAAATCAACTGTGCTATCAGCTCAAGACCAGAGCACTTATTTGCGTATTGTTCTGCAAGTATATCTACCATCCAAACACATTGTTCAGGGCTCTGATTTCCATACTCTAATTTCTCCAGGAAAAGAGGCCCATAAGTCATCTAGCTTATTTTGCATGCAGACATGCCTATATGCAACCTTCAAAGACCCTCTCCTTCCAACTGCCTTGGGAAGCGGGCAGGGCAAGTCACAATAAATCAGTTTTACAGCTGGGGAAACTGAGGCCAGAGTGGCACAGAGACTTGTCTAAGGTGGCAGAATTGGACAGCACCAGACCTAAATTTTCCAAACTCCTAAGCCAGTGCTCTATCCCCTGTATTTTCACTCCTACTGTAGAAGTTGGGGAATATGAGACCATCCAGAACTTGGACCCAACCCAAAGAATAGAAAGAGGTTTGTGAGCATCAGGGCTTGAAAGGTGGAGGTGATGTAAAGGAGGAAGCCCTCAGGCCTGTGTACCAATATACAGAGCTACAGCTTCATTTAAATTCAGCTGCTTGCAATGTACATTGTTGATGGCCTAGGAGATGAAGACATCCACTTTGTAGAACATGTTCTCCATCTACAGGAAGGAGACAAGATAAGCTTGGGCTAAAGCTATATCCAGGGGCTACAGCTCAGCTATCTTTGAACCAAGCCAGGGTGCCAGCTTCCATGCCATGGGTCCCTGACATGGGCCCCAGGGATCCAGAGAGATGTAAGAGAATCCAAAACCCAGGCTCTTACCCAAAGCCTTGTCTAGTCCCAGTCATTAAATCCACCCTTACAAAGTACTTCCAGACATTTTGCAGAGCCCGCAGATCCATATTCCAGGCCATATGATGAAAGAGCTTCTGGAGCTCTGACTGTAACAGAGGAAAAACTGAAAAAGTCCTGTAACCTTTTTTTTCTCCTTAACTGAAACTTTATGCACTATCGCCTACAATTATCTTCGACAGTTTCGTTTCTCCCCAGAGCCCAATTTCTGGTGAAGCAGGAGGATTGATGGAGGAACACAGGATGAAGATGAAGATGTAGATGAAGATAACAGCTGGAAGATTGATGGATGGAAAGCATGACCTCCTGCTGTAGATGAAGATAACAGCAGTCCCAGTGCCAGAATGTCTGGGACCCTCATCTGGCACCCTCGCATAACTGCCCCACCAGATGTCTGCAGTCACATAGACAGCACATTCTTTCCCATGTATTTCCCTTTAAGAACCCTAACTGCTAGTGCTTCAGGAGGACAGTGGGTTTGGGGGCACAAGCCGGGCACATCCTCATTTGCTAGCAAGTTATTAAATTTTCCCCTTCTTTTCCTCAATCCTTTGTCATTGTGTTGATTGATTCAGCTACGGTGACAAGGTCCTGGTTTTCGGCAACATGACCACTAGAGGAAATTGGCACAGTGAAGGAAGGTGAGTTCAGCATTCTGTAGAGCAAGAAAAGGCAGCCAAAGTAAGGGAGCCAGATAGCTGCTTCTGCCCCAGGCTATGAGACTCCTGCAGCAACCTTTCTCTCGCTAGACACACACTGACCTCCTCTCCCATTTTCTGGGAGGAAGGGGTAGGTTGGGCCTCTTGTCCAGGCCTAACCATGGGAAGTGAGAAAGACAGACAGGAAAAGGGATAGGATGGGACAGGAGGCCTTTGGGTCCTGGAGAAGAGGAGTGATGAGGCAATTAGGTGGGCCTCAGATGACTTAGGTTTTCACTAAGGAATTTATGTAACAGGATGAGCCCCAGGAAGAAGAGTGGGTTCTTCCTAGGCCTCTTCTCCACCCTCCACCAGCCTCCATGCTTGTAGAAACAGGCTTCAGGCCACCACAGGGAACAAAGCATCCAGTTGCTCTAGAGGCCAACTTGGAGCTTGCCACTAATAGATGTTGGGGGTGCTTCTAGGAGGAGAAGGGAGTAGGGAAAGGGGAACATAGGGGAAACTAGTTGAAGACTGTGAGCTCACCTTCACCACTTCTTTATCCTTGCTCGTGAGGTGGAAGAGCAAGGGAGTGAGGCTGCAGCAAACCTGATTAAGGTAATGTTCCTCTTGTCCTCTAGACTACCCATCAAGTTTCCAAACACAATGATGGCTCTTGCAAAAACAGTCTCGCTCCTGTGGGAGGTGAGAGCTGTGTGTCCAGGAGCGTTATGTGCCTCGGCCCTAGAACACCATGCTAGCCCATTTCCATAGCACTCACCCTCTGCCCACCAGTCCGGAAGAGCAGGACATAGACTCATGGCCCTGAGTGACCCACCACTCTCCTGGCACACACATCAAGTCATCCAAATTTATCATCACATACTGTTAAAAAACAAAATTCAACCAAGTAAATTTGAAGATCAAATTGGCTTTATTAAATGATTCATAAATCAGGCAGCATCCCATCTAGCAACAAGAAGGGGACTCCAAGGAGTTGTACAAAGTGGGAGGTTTTTATAGCCAGAAGGACAGTGGAGCAAGAAGGTATTAGTGAAAGAAAAGAAAGGATTATATCGGGGCAGGACATCTCTTTGGGGGGATGGTAATGACAAGAATTTTATCATGCAGATTTCCTCTTCTTCTGGAAGATGGAGAGGGCCCATGTGACAGACTACATCATTGGTACTAACCAGAAAATTTCAGACTGGTTGGTTAAGACTAAATTTATGGGGAAGGTGAAAACTGTAATTAGATCAGATATTAAATCTTGTTTTGGTATCATGGGCTTTAGCACAATTGACACCATTTTGGGCCTGTGATTTTTCTCTTTAACAATCCCCTCTTTTGATCAGAATTTCAGCTTGACTGAGAAATGTGATCAAAATTTAAGGCATTAGCGCCACTCTCAGCTACCGCTCTCTAGTTCTTGTAGCTTTATTGATCCTTAGTGTGGGATTCATATGTCATGATATTTTGCTTAATCCCCATGACATTCACAGGTCATGCCTCCGGGTTCATAATCCTTAAGTTGGTTATTCTGTTTGCTTCTTTTCAAATGTTCCAGTCTTAGGGAGATCATTTGCCTGGTAGTTAGTGGCTGTGAAAATGCATTTTTTTTTATTATGGTAACATTGGTTTATAACATTATATAAATTTCGGGTATATGTCATTATACTTCAATCTCTATGTAGATTATATCATGTTCACCACCTAAAGACTAATCACAATCCATCACCACACAAGTGCCTAATCACCCCTTTTGCCATTCTCCCTCCCGCCTTCCCCTCTGGTAACCACCAATCCAATCTCTGTCTCTATGTGTTTTTTGTTGTTATCTTCTATTTATGAGTGAGATCCTATGGTATTTGACTTTCTCCCTCTGACTTATTTCATTTAGCATGATACCCTCAAGGTCCACCCATGATGTCATAAATGGCCAGATTTAATCCTTTTTTATGGCTGAGTAGTATTCCATTGTGTATATACACCACATCTTCTTTACTCATTCGTCTCTTGATGGGCACCTAGGTTGCTTCTAAGTCTTGGCTATTGTTAATAATTCTGCAATGAACATAAGGGTGCATATATCTTTATGCATTCGTGTTTTCATTTTCTTTGAATAAATAGCACTGGAATAGCTACATCATATGGTAGTTCTATTCCTAACTTTGTGAAGACTCTCCACACTGTTTTCCATAGTGGTTGCACCAGTTTGCACTCCCACAAGTAGTGTATGAGAGTTCCCTTCTCTCCACATCCTCTCCAACATATGATGTTTCCTGTCTTGTTAATTATAACCATTCTGACGGGTGTGAGGTGATATCTCATTGTAGTTTTGATTAGCATTTCTCTGATAATTAGTGATGTTGAACATCTTTTCATGTGCCTGTTGGCCATCTGTGTATCTATCTTGGAGAAATGTCTGTTCAGGTCTTTTGTCCATTTTTTAATTGGGTTGTTAGTTTTTTTGTTGCTGAGATGTATGAGTTCTTTATATATTTTGGAGATTAAACCCTTATCAGATGTATGGTTTGCAAATATCTTCTCCCAATTGTTAGGCTGTCTTTTCGTTTTTTCAATGGTTTCCTTTGCTGTGCAGAAGATTTTTAGTTTGATGTAGTCCCATTTGTTTGTTTTACCTATTATTTCCCTTCCCTGGTCAGACATGGTACTTGAAAATATGCTGCTAAGACTGATGTTGAGGAGTGTACTGCCTATGTTTTCTAATAGATGTTTCATGGTTTCAGGTCTTACATTCAAGTCTTTAATCCATTTTGAGTTAATTTTTGTGTATGGTGTAAGATAATGGTCTGCTTTCATTCTTTTGAATGTAGCTGTCGAGATGGCCCAACACCATTTATTGAAGAGACTTTCCTTTCTCCATTGTATGTTCTTGGCTCCCTTGTCAAAAATTGGCTGTCCACAGATGTGTGGGTTTAGTTCTGGGCTCTCGATTCTGTTGCATTGATCTGTGTGTCTCTTTTTGTGCCAGTACCATGCTGTTTTGGTTACTATAGCTTTGTGTATATTTTGAAATCAGGGAGTGTGATACCTCCAGCTTTGTTCTTTTTTCTCAGGATTCCTTTCACTATGTGAGGTCTTTTTTTCTTCCATACAAATTTTAGGATTCTTCGTTCTATTTCTGTGAAAAATGTTTTTGCAATTTTGATAGGGATTACATTGAATCTGTAGATTGCTTTAGGAAGTATGGACATTTTAACTATGTTAATTCTTCCAATCCAAGAGCACAGAATATCTTTCAATTTCTTTGTATCTTCTATTTCTTTCAGCAATGTTTTATAGTTTTCTGTGTACAAATCTTTCACCTTTTTGGTTAAGTTTATTCCTAGGTATTTTATTCTTTTTGTTGCAATTGTAAATGGGATTGTATTCTTAATTATTCTTTCTGCTACTTCGTTGTTAGTGTATAGAAACACAACTGATTTTTGTGTGTTGATTTTGTATCCTGCAACCTTACTGTATTCGTTTATTATTTCTAATAGTTTTCTGATGAATTCTTTAGGGTTTTCTATATATAGAATCTCATCATCTGCAAGAAGCGAGAGGTTCACTTATTCCTTTCCAATTTGGATACAATTTACTGATTTTTCTTGCCTAATTGCTCTGGCCAAAACCTCCAGTACTATGTTGAAAAAGAGTGGGCATCCTTGTTTTGTTCCTGCTCTCAGATGAATGGCTTTTAGTTTTTCACCATTGCGTATGATGTTGGTTGTGGGTTTGTCATATATGGCCTTTATTATGTTGAGATACTTTCCTTCTATACCCATTTTATTCAGAGTTTTTATCATAAATGGATGCTGTATCTTGTCAAATGCTTTCTCTGCATCTGCTAAGATGATCATGTGATTTTTATTCTTCATTTTATAAATGTGGTGTATCATGTTGATTGATTTGCGGATGTTGAACTGCAAATCCCACTTGATCATGGTGTATGATCTTTTAAACATGTTGTATTTGATTTGTTAGTATTTTGTTGAGGATTTTTTGCATTGATGGTCATCAGTGATATTGGCCTGTAATTTTCTTTTTTTGTATTGTCCTTGTCTGGTTTTGGTGTCAGAGTAATGTTGGGTTCGTAGAATGAGTTAGGAAGCTTCCCCTCCTCTTCAGTTTTTAGGAAGAGTTTGAAAAGGATAGGTATTAAGTCTTCTTTGAAAGTTTGGTAGAATTCACTAGGGAAGCCCTCTGGTCCTGGATTTTCATTTTTTGGGAGGTTTTTGATTACTCTTTTGATCTCCTAACTGGTGATTGGTCTATTCAAATTCTCTATTTCTTCTTGATTCAGTTTTGCAAGATTGTATGATTCTAAGAATTTATCTATTTCTTCTAGATTATCCAATTTGTTGGCATATAGCTTTTTGTAGTATTGTCTTATAATCTTTTGTATTTCTTAGGTGTCCGTTGTAATTTCTCCTCTTTCATCTCTGATTTTATTTATTTGAGCCGTCTCACTTTTTTTTCTTGGTGAGTCTAGCTAAACATTTGTCATTTTTTTTTTATCTTTTCAAAGAACCAGCTCTTTGTTTCATTGATTTTTTCTATAGTTTTTTTACTCTCTATTTCATTTATTTCTGCTCCGATTTTATTATTTCACTCCTTCTACTGATTTTGGGTTTCGTTTGTTCTTTTTCCAGTTCATTCAGGTACACTGTTAGATTGTTTATTTGTGATTTTTCTTTTTTGTTGAGGTAGGCCTGTATTGCTACGAACTTCCCTCTTAGGACTGCTTTTGCTGTAGCCCATAAGTTTTGAGAAGCTGTATTTTCATTTTCATTTGTCTACAATTATTTTTTTATTTCTTCTTTGATTTCTTCATTGACCCAAGCATTGTTCAGTAGCATTTTGTTTAATTTCCTCATATCTGTGGCTTTTCCGATTTTCTTCCTGTAGTTGATTTCTAGTTTCATACTGTTGTGGTCAGAAAAGATGCTTGGTGTTATTTCAATCTTCCTAAATTTATTGAGATTTGTTTTGTGGCCTTGTTATGTTATATATCCATTGGTGTAAGTGCAGTGTTAAAGTCGTGTACTATTATTTTGTTGCTGTCTATTTCTCCTTTTATGTCTGTTAATAATTGCTTTATATATTTAGGTGCTCCTAGGTTAGATGCATAGATATTTACAAGTACTATATCCTCTTGTTGGATTGTTCCCTTGATCATTATGTAGTGCCCTTCCTTATCTCTTGTTACATTTTTGTTGTAAAGTCTATTTTGTCTGATATAAGCATTGCTACCCCAGCTTTCTTTTCATTGCCATTTGCATGGAGTATCTTTTTCCATCCCTTACTTTCAGTTTGTGAGTGTCTTTAAGTCTGAAATGTGTCTCTTGAATGCAGCATATATATGGGTATTGTCATTTTATCCAATCTGCCACCCTATGCCTTTTGATTGGAGCATTTGGTCCATTGACATTTTAAAGTAGCTATTGATAAGAATGTACTTATTGCCATTTTGTTACTTTTTTCCTGGGTGTTTTGGTTGTTCTCCTCTGTTCCTTTCTTCTTCTCTTGCTCTCATCCCTTGTGGTTTGATGTCTTTCTTTAGTGTTGTATTTGGAGTCCTTTCTCTTAATTTTTTGTGTATTTATTTAGGTTTCTGGTTTGTGATTATCATGAGGTTCTTATATAATAACCTACATATATAGCAATCAATATTAAGTTGATGGTCTCTTTAGTTTGATCTCTTGCTAAAAGCTCTACTCTTTTACACCCTTCTCCAACATTTTACGTTTTTGATATCATATCTAACCTCTTTTTTTTGTGCATGTGTATCTATTACCCTCTTATCATGGAAATAGGTAATTTTAGTACTTTTATCTTTGGACCTTCATATTAGCTTCATAGGTGGTTGATCTTAGATCTTTACTGTATATTTGCCTTTACCAGTGATTTTATTGATTTTTTTTTGATAATTTTCTTATTCCTATTTGTGGTCTTCTTTTTTCTACTTAAATAAGTCCCTTTAGCAAAACTTTTTCTTTTTTCATTTTGGTGAGGAAGATTGGCCCTGAGCTAACATCTATGCCCATCTTCCTCTATTTTGTATATGGGATGCCACCACAGCATGGCTTGATGAGTGGTGTGTAGGTCTACACCTGGGATCAAACCTGTGAACCCCAGGCTGCTGAAGCAGAGCACGTGAATTTAACCACTACACTCCCGGTCCAGCCCCCCCCTTTAGCATTTCTTGTAACGCTGGTTTTTTGGTGATAAACTCCTTTAGTTGTTGCTTGTCTGGGAAATTCTTTATCTCTCCTTCTCCTCTGAATGATAACCTTGCCAGGTAGAATATTCTTGACTGTACGTTTTTTCCTTTCAGCACTTTAAATATGTTGTGCCACTCCCTTCTAGCCTGTAAGGTTTCTGTTGAGAAGACAGCTGATATTCTTATGGTCTTTCCTTTGTATGTAACTTGTTGCCTTTCTCTTGCAGCTTTTAGCATCCCCACTTTATCTTTAATTCTTGACATTTTAATTATAATGTGTCTTGGTGTGGGCCTCTTTGGGTTT